ATTCTGAATATGAATCAGCTAAATGATAGATCACTAAACAGGCTTACTGTGTGGCAGATATATAGTTTTTTCTTTCATTTGTGATGTTGGTGAAAGCCATTACATCGAGTCCTAGACTGCGTCACAGATGCTAGTATATACATAGTGCCTGAATCAGAGGCTGTCCAAGCAGCATCAGATAGGTAATTCAGATGTGTGATACAAATTTGAATGCCCTGATAAAGCACTTCCTGTTATAATTTCCTGTTCTTGTATGTGCTGGCCTGATTCTAAAATCTGCATAAGGAATTGTAACAAGACCAATAAATTAGTGTATAATTGAATGTGAAAAAACTAAATAAAAATAAAATAGAGAATCTGAAAATGTCTTTTATGTTGGAACCAATTTAAAACAGTATTGATCCATCTGGTGGTTGAAGAGCTGAATATAGACAACAGCCTCAAAGAGCTCTGCCTGTCATCCTCCAAGTACCAGTTGGCTCAGCTCAGAGTTAAGTGTGTGGTGTAAACATAAAAGCGTGGCTTGTCTCACAAGCAAACATGCAATAAAGTCCAGTCTGATTGCATTCAGTTCTGAGTAAAGATCAAGTCCAACGTCAGCTCATCGTTTCCAAACAAGTCACAAAATGTAGCTTTAGAATGTCATAATGAGTTCATCCCTCTGCTCTCAAATATAAATATATATATATGTTTTTATTAATGACAGCGGGAATCTGTTTTTATTTATTGTTATGCTCGTTGGTTTTGTTTCTGAAACATATTTTTAAGCAGCAGAAGGTGTGTTGTGATGAAAAACATGGTTTGTGTGCAGGTACAAACTGCAGGTGAGTTCTGAAACCAGCATCATCGAGTCATTTACTGTTACATAAGCTACGTTTGTTACGGCCCAAAGAAAGCACAAACGTATTTAAAAAGGGAACACAGGAAATGAGGGTATTTTTAACTTTCTTTTTTTTTTGTTGTTAATTTTAAAAACAATTTGAAAAAAAAATGAATAAACTCCCAAACAACACATGCCCCCCAAAAATAATATATGCTGAACAAAAGAAAAGGAACGTTGTGTTGCCTTTTGCAGTATTAATTATTCATATCTTATTTCACAGAGAGAATTTCTGACAGGTTAATTCAGGTTCTTGTTAGCAGAGAGGTGTTACATGCTCGCCCTCTGCTGGCCAGGATGTGCAGATCATCTTTGACTGGAAAACCAATGATAAGAGGGCAGGAACCTCATCTCTCTCTCTGTCTCTCTGTCTCCAGACTGAATGAATGACGTCTGTTTTCTTGTTTCTTCTATTTTGTTTGTTCTTCTCACTCCTTTTTTCCTTCTAGTTCCATTTCTGATGCAGGTTTGAGGGAAGGGGAAAACATCCTACAGCCTGTTTCAGGTTGATCTGAGTGACTTATATTCTATTTGTTCATTCTGGTCCACCACTAATCTTCTGTTGTTTATTGTTTATGCTGGTTTAGGATTATTGTCTTTTTGTTTGGAAAAAAATTGAACGATTTGCAGCAGCTACTTGACTCTTGGTTATTCTGGACATTGTTTGTCAAGAGTTTTTTTTTTTTGGGAGGTTGTAGCGCATATTGATGAAACACTTTTTAATAATTCAATTTCCATAAACAGCCTTGTCACATCTAAGATTTTAACTTTTTAGAACGTAGTAATTCTTAAGCTGTCACTGATTGTGTAATTTGAGTTGAGCTGGGCCCACAGAAACCAGTACATTTTATTTCAACAAGGAAAGAATTGTTAAATGCAAAGTGGAAGTGGTCTATCCTTTCTTGCTCAGCATATTTTAGGGAGGAAGATGTTCAAAATGAGGGTCCACAGACCTTTTGCCTGATGCATCTGTGGCTGCAAACTACAACAGGAGGGATCGCTGACAGGAGAGTGAGACTTTGGCATCAACACTTTTCACAATACGCATGACCAGAAAGAGAAGTTGCTCTGCAATGCAGGGATGTGATCATGCAGCTGAAAAAGGCTGTAAATATTCAGCCAGAACAAGTTAAATATGGGCACTAAGACCTGATTAATATCAGGAGAAGACATTCTCAGTGCTTACTGTAGTATTTTAATTTGAATAAATTCATTTATGTTTCACTATCGCTGCAGGAACGTGTGGCAGATGTGAGGTGACACTTAGAGGAACTGTCCTGTTTTCGGTTCTTTGCCCCTTCCTGTTTCCATTGACCCGACAGTTTTGACTGCAACCTTGACTCCTGTTCAAGAAAATAGAAAAAATATGGTTTATGTTCGTCGATATGGTGAATTTTGATGATGGCAATGTGGTTCTGTGACCCTTTACAGGATAAACCAGGTAAAGCAAATGGATGGATGATGGTGATGTGGGGTGACACAGTGGTTACCTCACAGCAAGGTGGGGTTTAAACCCGCTGCTCAGTGTGGACCGTGCATGTTCTCTTGTGCGTCTTCCTCCAACAGACATGCATGACAAGTTAACTGGTGATTGTATTACCATTGGGTATAGGAATCATAGGAATTAATACCACAAACTCCCATGACAATATGAATAAAGTTGTGTACTGTCTCTTTAAACTACACAGAGGAACCAGTATGGAGGGAGAGGACAGTCAAGTCAGCCCGAGTACAACAAGTCATTTCCTGCCCTTGTTTCCAGTGTTAAACGTTTGTTGGCATCTCAAAGGAAGAGCTGAGGATCAGAATATGTGAGAACATGTTCCTGTAACAAATGAAAATGCAGCTAATGTGTTTTTGAAATGTTCATTAACGTGCCATCTGGTCTACAAAATATAAGGAAACTGTGAAACATTGCCATCGCAGTTTCTTTAAGTTGTTCTCTTCAAATTATTGCTGTCTGATCAAACTGACTGGGAACTCACGGACACTCTAATACAGTAGCAACCTGTCAATCACGAGAAAGCCACATCCTTAAGCAGATTTATTGTCTATTTTATTTTAAATGGGACCATAATTTACAAAATGTGCATCATGCTGTATTCACGGAGACTTGAAACTAGCAATGGAGACCATAAATTCATTGGGAAAATGTTTACAGGGGTAACAGATCAAAACAAAAGAAAGGTGACTTTCTCATAGACTTCTATACAATCAAACTTTTTATTTTTCCCACCACAATAGTCGCTCCCTGCTGGCTGTGAGAAAGAATGCAGGTTTAACTCGCTTCAGCATTGGCTTAAATTTTCAGACCTGGTGTCCACATTCATGTTTTATATACATACAGGTGCTAGAGCCACCTAAGGATTGTTTTATTTATTGATAAGGCCTCCTGGATACCTTCCTTTGGAGATTTTCCAGGCAACAGGGAGGAAACTCGGGGGCAGAACCAGAACTACTTTTATATATCTCATCTGGCCTTGGAATGCCTTGGGATCCAGCAGAAGAACCTTCAACCTGCTTAGCCTGCCGTGCCCCTCTGATAAGCAGAGGAAAATGGATGGATGGTTTAAAGTGGGAACCGATTCCAAAGACAAACAATGATGCAGAAAGCAACTTGCTGCAAGTTGACAGGATTGGTTCCTGATGATGTGTTCCCACAAGAGTTTTCATTTCAACACTTCACATTCATTGATATTTAAACAGCCGTGCAGTGCATTCTGGGAGTGCCACATTGTGTTTCGAGAGATGGCCTCTCCCATTTTTGTACAAGGACTTGGCCACCTGTTGCAAATCAGGACCCTCCAGTCTCCTCTAGAGTCCTCTGGAAACTCATGAAAAACTTTAAAAACAAAGCCAGACTCAGCAACTGCATCACTTATTTCTGACCTCATACGTTTTCTTAAGCACATTTTGGTGAACTGTTTTCGTAATATAAGCGAAGGTTTGCAAACGAGCCACCATGTTGGTCCAGTTTAAAATCAAGAAGCAGAGAAGCTATGAGTGAAGCGTTGGCCCAGTCAGGTGCAGCTATTGCTTGTGCAGCTTCAGAAGGGGAGAATCTTTAGTATTGTCCCTTTGGAGAGTCCTGTCAGTCATCTGTGAATCATCTATCATGGAACTGCCAAGTCGTACGCCCATCTCATACTGTCCATACTGTTTATACTGGTTTTTAGCTCTACCTGTAAATCTATCTATCTTTTTTATTATGTATATTTATTGTGTTCTTAAAAGTTTGTTCATACTGTTAATTCTGTTTACACGACAAAATACTGACATACTGTATGTACTTATACTGCATTTAATGCACTTTACTGCTTCTTTTGCTCCGCTAAAATGCATTTTGTTGTCTTCGTACTTCGACTTGAGGTAATGGCAATAAAGTTGAATCTAATCTGATCAAGCACACAATACTGAATGTGACCCATTACATTAAAAAAAACGGCCTTGTGTGGCACCCCTATAGTTCACCTAGTTGAGCGGGCCACCCATAAACAGGAGCTATAGTCCCCGACACAGCGGTTACTGCAGTAACCACTCTAAATAGCCGGAAATGAACACTTTGCTGTTTTTAACTGCCCCTAACGTCCTTTCAATTATGGCTGTACTTGTATGTTGTTTTAAATGTGTTTGTTTTTATGCCTGTCAAAGAAGAATTTCTGTCACTTGTGACAGACAATAAAGTTTATGTTATCTTATGGGTTTGAGTCCCGCTCATGACCATTTGCTGCAGGTCCTTCCGCCACTCTTCTCCCCTCTTTCCTGCCTCACTCTCTCACCATCCTTACAAATAAAGGCAAAAAGGCCAGAAAAAATAATTTAAAAAAAACAACAAAAAAACATGTACCATTAGGTTTGTTATGTATTAAACCCCAGCTGTCTGAATCTGTATTTTTGAGATGGTCATCAGTGCATTGTAGTTTGAAAGTGGAAATGACATGACAACTATTTAAAAAAATTGGGAGTGTCTTTATTTTGTTTAGTGGTATTTTAAATTCGAAAACACACACACACACACACACACACACACACACACACACACACACACCTATATATATTTTTTTCAACGTCTTTTATTTTGAAAGCGAGCGTCGCCCAGCTTCCCTCGCGTGCAGCAGATATCTGTGGAGCTTGACAGCAGTGAGCGACAGAAAGCTACTTGCCAGCAGATACACAAAGGGAGAGAGAGAGAGAGAGAGAGGAGCTGCAGCAGCTATGGGGATCAAACTGTACTACACCACTGTTACTGCCTCCCGGACGGTGAGTCAAACTACAACATGGCGCGACTATAATTTCACGAGTTTACCGCTGTGCTAGCAGCAGCAGCAGCTAACGGTGCTCAGTCCGACAGACACACCCAGCTCCCTATCACTGATAGCTTCCTCCTGACTGACTGAGCAGCGGGCCTGGTGACTCCCTGCCCCTTCATTTCATTAATGGAGCGTCAGCAGTACTCGGCTGGAGGTGTATTAAAGATTAAAGTTATTATTGGGGGAATGTGTCAGAACTTAAAGGTGAAGCAGGCGGCGTTATTTTACCTGACTAAGGTGTTTGCTATCGGTCATGTTAGCAAGCTATTTCTGCACATATGTATCCCTACAACATTGTGTTTTTCATTGTAAACAGGTGCATTATCTAAGTGTCATTTTGGTACAAGACACTTGACGGCACAGCAAAGTATGGCGACCATATGTATTCGTTTCCTGTCCGGAAGGCGGTACGCCAAATTTCATTTAAAATCTGCCAATTTAAGGTCTCCCTGCTTTTTTGGCAAATTGAAACACTCATTTTAAGGCCTTTTATTAACAGTGTGTATTAATCACATCGGATGCACTAAACGGCAGTCGTTTGAAAGGATTGCCACCTTTGTAGGTGGCACACCTGCTACTCAATTCCCGTTTCAGGCGCTGTGGGTTGGTAGTAAGCCAGCACGGAAACCAGCAATAAAACCATAAATTTAACTAATAGAAGAGCTGCTAGGTAGAGTATATGTAAGCCGAATTAACCAGCAGACGATTTAGTGTGGAAAAAAGTCAAACCTTTATATTCTTTCATTTGGATTTTTGTTGGTCGGCTTGATATTTTTAAATTTAGGGATTTTGTAATGAAGTGTTGTCTGTTTTTCACAGAATATTTTTTACGATGATCGAACAGAACAGGTTGATATCAAGACTGTCTGCAGACGTCAAGAAACACATTAATCGATATTTTATTTTATTTTTTTAAAATTAAATCTTAAGTCTGCAGCATTTTCTTTAAACGTGCATGGCGGTGTGCTGGGCCAGACATCTGGTATCTATTAGTTGTGAGGAAATCACGTAGAAAAAACTTTGGTGACGTGCATTAGTTTTTAACCCTCTCATGTGCAGCAATGCTGCTATAAGTAGGATTTTAAGTGGCCATTATTTCCCAGTTTGTATGCTGATTCTCCACACCAACAAAATTTTAGTTTAAGGATGAATTAAAAATATATATTTTAGTGAATGTTGATGTATTGTAATGTTTTTATGTCATATATTTAGTTTATTTAGACTCGATGTCAACTCTTAGATTAATCACCAACTATCTTGCTGATCGATTAATCGATTAATTTCTTATGGAGAAAAAAAAATCGCTGATTCGACTCTCTTAGATATAAATATTTTCTACTTCCTTTACTCCTCTGTAACCGGAAACTGGACATCTTTGGGTTGTGGGTGAAACATTTTCAGACGTTGAGGGCATGTGGAAATGCTCATTTCTCTATTTTCTGTCATTTTAAAGAGCAAAAAACGAATCGATTAATTGATAAAATAATCATCAGATTATTTATGTAAATAGTCCTTAGCTGCAGCCCTAATTTAGACCACAGCAAAACCTGTTTTTCCTGTTTCAAAATGAAAACCTACCCAATAAACAGTGGAAAACAATAACAAACATTCCACACAAATCCCTTTTTACAATGCAATAACAGTGCAGCGAATTTGTTTCCCCCCTTAAAACATCTCGTGAATTGTTCTTCAGTGGTATGAGTGTACGCCGCACTTCTAGCTTCTGTTCTTTGTGCAGACGTGTGGTATTGTATTCAAGTTTCAGTTCATCATCTAAAGGACACACAAAAACTTCCCATGATTCAGTGATGCTTTTGCGGAACATGTAAAACCAATTCCCCTTTTTCAGTTTGCGGACATGGCTGTTCCCTCGCAGCAGCTAAATGCCAGCTTGTGTGTTTCCAGTTAGTGCTTTGTTTAGGTGTGGTCACAGTTGCAAACACCCCCTCCCAACTTCCTCAGTCACCCAAAAAGATAGCAGACTGTCACCACATCTATTAATCATCACCCACAAGCCAGATGAAGCTGCTGCCTTCACAGGCCCAGCCTCAAACAGGATTTAAATCATGTTGTTTGTGTGCGTGCTGCTATGCCAATGCTATGCCACGAAAAACGTCTCTGTTCCTGTCCTTGGGGAGAAGTAATAGTACAAGGTTTATTTGAACAGTCCCTCAAAGCTGTTTGGTGACCTTCATCTGCTTCTTGTTATTCTCACACAGAGGAAAACTCAGAATAACCTGACAGCTTTCATCATTTTGCTCCACGCATTTCTTAGAAATGTCATCAGTGAACGTAAGGTTTGAAGTCGTGGTGGAAAGTGATGCTATATACAGATCAAACACTGAGCAAATGAATTGTCTGCTTCCCACCAGTTATGCTGGAGTGAAGTCGGTTTCTGACTGAAGCTCTTGTTTTTCCAGGTGAAGTCTCAACAGGCAGAAGTGATTCGAATCCTTGACAGTAAAAGCATCCAGTACGAGCTCATCGACATCTCTGTGGGCGGGGAGCTTCGTGATGAAATGAGGAGCAAAGCGGGGGACCCCACGGCAGTCCCTCCCCAGCTTTTCAATGAAGACCAATACTGTGGGGTGAGGAGAGAACACGCACTATGTTTTTCTTTCCGCTTTCCTCAAGTTTATTTATAAAGTATCCCTGAAAATGCAGAGCTTTCTCCACAGTGCTGTCAGTGCTGGAGAATGGTCCGACACCCGTTCTCAATCCGCAATGGGGTGGAAAAAAACCATGCCGGTCTGTTTGATTATCTTTAAACCAGTGATGCACGATATTAAAATTTCTGATTGGTACCGATATCCAATGTTAAGATTTCTGACATGAATAGCCGGTATTACCGATGTCGATATTCAATTTTTGTTCATACCGAAAAATGAGTATAAGTAAGCACCGTGAGAAGGTGAAAACTATTCAAAAGAAGCCCATGCTAAGTTAGATCACATCGTCTTCTTTATTACGTCACAAAAGTAAAACATATTTAAACATATTTTAATATATTTAACGTTCAAGTCCAGGACCATTTAAATAAAAACATCTCTGAAATAGCAGCAATATCAAGCATAGAGATGAAGGCGCTAATGTTAGACAATCATCGGCTCATTCATAGGCTAAATGTGTTCATTGGACTGATACCAGTACATCGAAACAAGCACTAATATCGGCCGATACTGATGTGGTTGCCGATACATTGTGCATCCCTACTTTAAACCAATCACAATGGATGGTGATAAACCAGCAACGGAGCTGAGGCGCATGCTAATGCTAAGCTAGGCCAGACCTAAGTTTCTGTCAGCAGAGATGTTTCCAACGTTCAGGAGCAGCAGGACTCTTATTACAAGCTTCAACGACATTTAAATGAAAGTGATGAAGTGTGTCAGCGTCGCTCCTGTCTGAAAATGAATCCAGTGATAAATAAATAATGACAGATTTCCTGCACTGATGAAGTTACTGCAACAGTATTTGACATCTGCCTGTTATTCATCACTGAGCAGCTGTTTCCAGCAGCTGGACTAAAGTTGACGACAGTGATCATCATGTAGATCAGCTGTGAGGGTTATTAAGATATCAAACAGCTGTACAGTGATTAATTATGCTGCAGGTTATTTACTGAGGACGACTGCAGCTTGTTTGGTGTGTTCCATACGATGGGTTTGTTTTGGTAGTTGAATAGCAGTTTTAAATAAATTCATATTGTCTGCTGTTTAATTGATGATTTATTTTGTGGAGAACCGTAAGTGTCAGCAGTGAAAAACATCCTCTTTGTTTCATTTAAGATGAATTAATTATTGATTTTTGGTGCGGCTGACCGTTGTTTAAGGAAGTGTTTAGAATTTGCATGTGTACGTTCAAGCAACCTCAACCTGCAGCACCGTTTACTTGCTTGACTGGCAAATGCTCGGTCTGCCCCAAATCCTCAGTTTTCATTTTCGTTGTCACCCCCTAAAGTCCAAGCAGTTCATTAATAAGCCGTATAAAGTCCTGCACATCTATATAGAAGCAGAGAAACCATGGCTGGGAGTAGATCAAACTCTCCAACTTCACAAAATACACTTTTCTAATGCCAATAATTATGAATTAAAAGATAAAGGCAGAAGTAGAATTTCTGAATGACTTGGAATCAACCTGTACAACATTTTCCACATGTCAACAAGTGTTACCAGTCCATTGTTTCCATTATAGTGTCCTCGTGTGAACACAGCCTGCAGGTCAGCCTAGTTGAGCCAAAAACACATGGAGGATGAAGCGATAAGAAGTTTTGGTTAATTTTCCTCATGTAGCCACGTGTCACAGGTTCCAGTTCTGATAAATGGAGTTTTAGGATTCAGAGAGTTAAATACAAGAGCTCATATTAATCAGTGTTTTCATTTTCTTACAGCCATCTTCTCTTCGAATGCTCTCAAATAACTGCATTTTTCCATATTATATAAGAATGTTTGGAACACGTTCAGCGACTAATGTACAAATGAGAACTGCATTTATTCTGCAGGTTTCAGTACAGAAATCCCAACTCTGAGCACTCTGGTCTTCATAAAGATAAAGTAACCTCCAGTTTACAATTTAGTTGTCGTCATTTTCCTTCTGAACCTTCTGAGATTGTTCACCATTGGTGTGTGAATCGGTGTGTGAATGGGTGAAACACATGGTACCGCTAAGTTAGATAAAGGCGCTGTGTAAGTGCAGACCCTTTACCATCTGTACAGCTGCCGTACTTCTTTGATTTCTTGTTTCGGTGACTGACGCTTTTGCCCGTTTCTTCTCCACCACAGAACTACGAAATGTTTTCCGAGGCGGTGGAAGCAGATACAGTGGAACAGTTTCTGAAGATGGCGTGAGGAGGGTGGAGTATGCTTCTCCCCCAACCACTCCCCCACCCACCCACCCTGTGCCCTATCAGAGGCCCTTTATTCAGTCTCTCTCTGCACCACCGGCAGTGTCCACCCACTTTCAATGCCATAATGAAGAATGCCAAATATCTTGAATCAAACTAATCAGAAGACACACATTCCCCCTACTGCACTCTAAATCAGTCTTAATCTTTTTATTTTTTTTTATTTTTATGTGTCTTTTTCTGTTTTGTTCCTTTGATTCCTGTCAGACTTTCTCCTCGTCTGACGGACCGGAGCTACAAAACGCTCCCGGTCCACGAGGAATCAATGGTGTGTCTAAATGTGCGGTAATTAGGTCGACTAATCTCGGCCAAGGCCACATGATCGCTGGAGATTAAACTAATCCACTGGATGACAACATTCAACCCAGAATCTTCCTGATCCTCTGCAGACCAAACGCACCATCATCAGTCAGTCTTAACTACTTTGTCGTCTTTTTCTGTAGCCTTCAAGTTCCCATGTTGTACACGACAGCGCACTATTTGTACTTCACATGGATGCAAATGCACACTGAAGTAGCAAGGATGCAAAGTCCTTAAAACCCAGTTAATGAAGATTTATAGCAGCTAAAAGACTGCATTTTAGGTGCAGATAACTTTTAGGTAGTTTGGTCCATTGGTCTCCTTTTTGCAGTAAAGAGGTTAGCGCTTCTGAAGTGGGAATTCACTGCAGCCTGCTGACGTTCCGACAATCTGACCCATTTGAAGGGGTAATAATGCACGAGGATTCGAAAAGATTTGTTAAAAAGTGACTTCAATCAACCTACATGTAGAAACCGTCAGTGTCATTTTAAAGGTACCATCAAGTTTTCTATGTGCAAAAGGTCTACATCGTTAATGCATTTTTATGTGCATTTTGAAATATCGGAGTAGGAAATATGAAAAACTGACATTTTGTTTTTGACTTCTGGAACACAAAATGTTCCTGAATCAGATCATTAGATTATGAGTCTAATGGACCAAACGTGGTAAAAAAGTTGATGTACTCCTTAAACACAATCAGTGTTCAGTAGATAGCTGCTTTATTTCCAGTAGAGCCAGATGAACACATTTCTTAACGTCACATTTATTTGGTGCCAATCTGTAATGCGCTTTTGCTGGTAGATATTCACTGTAGTGTTAGCACTTACCCGCCATCTTCCACACTCTCCATAATTTTACTGTATAACTTGAAAGCTTTACTTGCGGCACCCACGGGTGCTCCGCGTCGATGACTGACCAGACGAAGAGATGCCAAACACTGACCATTTCATAGTGTTGGATGACAAGATGTGAACGTTCTAGCTTTCAAATGCGTAGCTTTCTCTCTCTCTCCACCGTTTGATTTTCGTTACAGCTTCACTGATTGTACGGGGCATGAAGATGCAGTAATGTGACTATGCACTGAAAACATGCCTCATTCTGAACACAGAAAGGGCGACGCTGGTGTGTTTAGATGGACCTCACTCAGTCTTACCAGCCTTAGGGAACACTCACCACATGGGAAAAATGAAGGCTTCACTTATTTGTGCTTTTTATGTATTTGCATTCATTCCATGAAGTGATCTCAGTTGAAATGTAACTTTCAAGTATTAGGTCTTTTCTTTTCTTTTTTTAAATTTGAGAACAGCATGATTTCCCTCTCTCTGTCAACCCCCCCGCCCCCTCCTGCTATCATCATTGTATTGTTACGGTTTGAGATCCACAGTAATGACAGCCTTCACACACAATGTCTGTGCACTGTTTTGAAGTCGATGGTTGTAGATGTTTGCCTGTTATTGATGTGTATTCACTATGAACCATGGTTTAGACATTCCATGTCTCTCTCTCTCTGAGCTCCTGCTTTGCTTTTGGACCAATTCCCCTTGGCCAAAAAATGAAGAAAATAGGGAATAAAATGCTGTTGTCTTCCAAGAAGATTGTGAAAAGTGATTTATGGGTTAAAAAAATAAATGGAGTTGAATCTACCTGCCTGGTTCATTTTTATCTGTAGGACCTTAATTCAGTAGGATGTGCTATTTTGTACGTCTGCATTCTAAGAAATAACTACATAAAATAGCAGAAAAGGTACTTCTTTGAACAGACTTTGTCCTATATATATGTCTATGGCCCGGTCATGGTCTGGTTAATCATATGTGTAACCCACTATCTTATTTTAAATAATGAAACACACACACACTTAATCTGATTGTCAGATGTTTTACTATGAGATGATTCTATAATATATACTTTATTTCTGACTGTGAAACTTGGAAAGAGCAGTATGTGTGGTCAACAACAGAGCACACGAGGAAATCTGTGTCGGCTGCATCTGTTTCATTCAAAATCACTGTCAGAATATTCTGTTCTCTGGAGTCCCAGTCAGTAGGATTAAGGGTAATGATTATTATGATGATTTAATGATGACCTAGTTCCTTTGTCTGAATTACTATGCATAACAATTAGGGTCAAATATGAGGTTTGTCATATAATGACGTAATTTAAACTGACAGTTATCATTAACTAGGAACTCACAGTACATTTTATTATGATGATTACAATATAAATATCCTTCCATCCATCCATGATCTATACACCGCTTAATCCTCACAAGGTTACAATATAAATATGAACATTAAAATGCAGAATTTACATAGCCAATAAAAAACTTTGTGTTCAGCTGCAATAGCTCATTTTTCCTTTAGGCGAGGCAGCTGCAGCGTGATGCACTTCTACTTTTGCAGAAGAAGAAAATGAAGATGAATAATCAAGCTAACAATAGGAAGCAGAAAAAATGGAACTTGATGTCAAAATAAAATGACAAAAAAAAAGCATATGGAGCACGTTGCATCTTAATATTATCTACATCTGGACAAATTATGAAAAGAAATTGAGTTCATTACTTGTTATTAATTACACTAAAGCTTGTGTTTGTCATACCTTGCACGAATACTGTGATAGTTATCATTACTATTGCTGCACAATTTCCTCAGTGTTTCCCTACTGCAGCATCAACTATCTGTCAAATAAACGGTGCTACCTTACACTTACCTTAAACTGGTCTAATAATACATATGATCTTTTTGTTTCTGTGTTTTGTTCCAAACACACAAATATATATACAATACATTATGCGACCATTGTATTCAATAACTCCTGTAGTTTATGTTTTGTCCTCTCTGCAGGTATCTCTGATAATGGAGGGAATCCAAACTGTCCTTGAGATGACATATGTTATGACTTTGCACTATATAAATAAAATTTAATTGAACAAAGTGAACTTCAACCTCATTTAAAACAGTTAAACCTGCAGCAGCTGTAAGTTAAAAGCCACAGACAGTGACTGTGATCACTATGGTAGCATGTCCTGTCTACAGTCACGCCTTCTTGTCTTCATCACTGCAGGTGGACAAATCATATTTTATGAATCACAAACTGAGAAATTCCTAATTTCCTAAACATATATCAGATTTAAACTATTAAGAGAAGAATAAAAGTGGTTGATCTTGAAACAACAACAACAAAAGCCTACTGTAAACATCACATGCTACCAAATGAATTCCCACCCCTCATCCTGCAAATGCATAGGTCACATTTGCTTTACATTTCACAGAGATGTGTGATGCAAAAGTGACAGTGTGTGGTATTTATTTTTCCCTAGATAGAAAAATATCCACTGTAGAAATAAATATACTTGAGCAATTATGTTGAATGGGTCTAAAACTCTTTTTGTTATATATAAATGACATTTGCAAAATATCAAAAGTATTAAAATTAGTTCTCTTCGCAGATGACACAAATATTTTTTGTACAGGTAGACAGGATAGAAATTGAGGTTGTTCTACTCGGCATGCAACTCTCATTGCCTGAATTCACACCATGATCGACAGTTGTGCAAATTTTCTCCTTGTTGTTACGTTTTTTTGGTGTGAATTCGTTTGCCACCAAAAATTCACTGCAGCATCTTTAGCAACAATGTGTGCCTATGAATTTATGAATTTGTAGAATAGAATTTGTCCACCTGCAGTGAATATTGTAAGAACTTTTGTCTTGTGTTTGTCTGAGAGAGAAAAAGAAAAAATAAATCTACAAGTTTGTATCTCCCAGGACTTCAGATTTACTCCATTTACTCCCATCTCTCCAATCTCCACTGCTCAATTGTTCTATAAAACCCTCAAACAAAGGTTTTTGTTCATATTTAGCATATTTAACACACAACACTATTTCGGTTTTCATACATTCAACTCTTTTAAAGGGGCTTTAAAATCCAAAATAGAGCCTACATCATAGGCAAAAGGGGGAAAACATCGTAATGATTTAATGGGATGCAGTTAGAGATATATATTCTTCGTATCACTTGACAACAAACTAATCTAAGTTTACAAAAAAAAAAAAAAAAAAAAAAAACTTGCGCTACAACAACTTCCAACTTGACATTTTCTGGTCTTTTACGCTGAAAAGCTGAGCGGATGTTTTGCGACTGACGTAACGCAGCTGAACACTGCTCCAAAGAAGGAAGCTGTGAAATCTGTCAGGTAACTGCTGAGTTAACGTGAGTAAACCCGATATATTAATGGTGCTGATGTGGAAGATAATGAATTTAACTGAGCTGGTGTGTGCATCGCTGCCCTGTTTGTTGCAGCCAGTGTTGTTTCTGTGTGACAGTCCCGAGCAGCACATTTACAGGCTAGCTAGCTGAGCTAAGCTAGCTGTCAGCAGTGTTTTGACACGAGAATGCAGCTGAACGTCTGGCATTAGCTTCTTCAGCTGTATGAGCTCAATATACCTTAATAAAACGGAGACTTCAGCTGTATTACTCACCTCGTTTTGGCCACAACTCGCCGTCCTCATCATTGTGTTACCTGTCACAGTTGGTTGCCACTGCTAAGTGTTTGTGTTCAGCAAAGACTGCAGCCGGTGTTTATTTGCTTCTCTGCTGGACTACATTCGTTACAGACATCAGTTTTTGGGTATTTAGCTGTCAATGGGATCTAGTTTTACATCCTGTGTACACCAGAAACTCTAAGCTGCAGTTTTTCATTCAAACGTTGGAAGGTATCTGGAGTCATGCTATACATTAACACTGCACAAATGTCAGGCAACCAAGCCACACCATAGATGAGGTTATCCTCACACATAAGCTGTCTTATATGCTTTTTAATTATATGCTGTCAATTGCCAAACGCCTATCATCTGTCACTTATATGGTATATTTGCATCTCTGCATCTATTTTTTTTACAAAATACGTTTACTGCCAATTCTATCCATCCATCGTTTATACACCGCTTAATCCTCACTAGGGTCATGGGGGGCTGGAGTCTATCCCAGCTGACTTAGGGAGAAAGCAGGGGACACCCTGCACAGGTAACCAGTCTATCACAGGGCTACACTTAGAGACAGACAACCAAGCACACTCACACTTAAGGACAATTTAGAATCACCAATTAAACCTCAACATGTTTTTGGACCTTGTGGGAGGAAGCCGGAGAACCCGGACAGGACCCACGCTGCACGGGGAGAACATGCAAACTCCCAAAGTACAGTTCGAAACAACAGAACACACAGGCATATTTCCTCACTTACATCAAGTAGTTTTCATTCATGTGTAGTTTTATCTGCTTACATGTTGGAATATCAGCTCCTAAAGAATACGATTTTGGAATTTTGTTTGTGGTTCTGACGAATTCAACAACATATCTTTGGACAATCTGTGCTATAAACAGTTTTATTACAGCTACTTTGCACTGACAAATTAGTTCTACTGGACACTTTAGACTGTATAATATAATATACTATGTCATAAGTGAAATAAGCAGTCAACACCATGGCTAACGTTTCCACCTAGAAACTGCTTCGATGACGGTCTCAAAAACATGGATTTAGACTTTCAGGGTTTCATTAGGAACAAACCTTCAGGAACCAATCCTGTCCACTTTCAGGGTGAAGCTTTTTGCATCATTGTACCAGAAACAGCAATGGCTGGTTTCTTATAATATTACAACATGTTGCTGTGTAGCACAGAGTAGTTTTACAGTGTTAGACTAGAGTTGGAGGTGAAGTCGTGAGCACCAGCTTCATTGAGGCAGGCAAGGCCAAAGTAGAGACGCAGGTTCTTCAAAGATCTGCGAGAGTTGGGTGTAAGCTGTTACAAGGCAGGATGGAAAGATTTTAAGTGAAAAGAATATGTACCTTTGATACACAAAGGTGAGTTTTTAGAGTTAAATCAACAACCAGAGAGCGACTTTAATAAATGATGGTTATAGATTGCATGGAATCTCTTGTATGTTCATTGTTGTAACCAAAAGTTTTCTGTCCCGTGAAGCCACATGTGAAGATGAGCGTCCCAGACTACCTGCAGTGTGCTGAGGACCACCAGACGGTGCTGGTGGTGGTCCAGCCGGTCGGCATCGTGCCCGAGGACCAGTTCTTCAAGATCTACAAGCGCATTGCCAGCGTGAGCCAGGTGAGCATCAGGGACTCTCAGCGCCTCCTCTACATCCGCTACCGCCACCACTACCTGCCTGAAAACAACGAGTGGGGAGACTTCCAGACGCACCGCAAAGTGGTGGGTCTCATTGCCATCACCACCTGCGCCTCGGCCAAGGAGTGGCCCCAGACCGCCGAGCGCTTCCACGGCCAGAAGGAGGTGTACAGCTCCACGCTCTACGACTCGCGGTTGCTGGTGTTTGGGCTCCAGGGCGACATCGCAGAGCAGCAGCGCACGGATGTGGCCTTCTACCCCGGCTTTGAGGAGTGCTCTGACGTGGAGAAGAGAGTGGAGGACTTTGTGGAGTCGATATTTATTGTTCTGGAGTCCAAGCGGCTTGACCGGGCTACAGATAAGTCCGGTGACAAGATACCTCTGCTCTGCGTGCCCTTTGAGAAGAAGGACTTTGTGGGTTTGGACACAGACAGCAGGTGAGTTCTCCTCGACGCTGCACTCTTTCATGAATCTGGAGGCTGTTTAAGTGCTTGACTAGTCATTGCCGTCAGTAAATTACAGCATTATTTGCAAGTTGGTGTGTGTCGGTTTGTGACTATTTGCTTGTTACATGTCAGCCTCACCTGCTCAGAAGTTCTCCTCTCAAAAATCTGTCCTTTGATTTTTGCTGCGTTCATTTTTGTTTGTTTACCTTGCTTTATTTGTCTTTCTTCTTTTTTTCTTTCATACTGTCCTGTGAGTTTATTGTTGGGTGTGAAAAGGTGAGACGTTAGACTCATAAGTTAGTCAACCCATACCGACCCCATCAGCTTTAGCTCTGCCCCCGAAGGACACTGTGCTGTTCATTTGTTCATGAATCCAGCCAAACTCATCGCTCCTCCGCAGGTTTTAGTTTATACACAAACTGATTGGTTGAAGTTATACGCCAGAAATAACCCCATATTTAATACATCACTGGAAGGAAGAAATACTCAGTGACACACACGACTATAAGAAATCTGAAGCTTAAATTACTCATCGGTTGATTCAGGCTCATCTCAATCCACAAATTGCAGTACAGATGAGGTCTGATTTCCAGCACGACACATTTTCACTGCTCACACTCAGTTTTAAAGTCTGTAGTCTTGTGTTTGACGGGGAAGAAAACAGCAAAGTTCAGCCTCCATTCAGTTGATCAGCTCTTGTTCATGTTTTTTTACTCTTGGATCCCAATTTACATTCTTGCATCACTTTCACAGTTGATTTTGAGAGTAGTAAAAGGACCATACGTGTGTGGTTTGTGTGTTTGCCCATTTACGAGAATTATAATTTACATTTGCTTCCACTGGTTTCAGTATCTATTAGTATATAGATGGATCCGTCTGTCTTGCCGTTTATCCATCCATCTTGTTGAAGTCACTGTAGAACAACTGATGGGTTTGTATTCATGTTCTGGGATTCCTTAATATTTAAAACATCAGCTGTCAACAACCCTTTTAAAAGCAGAGAGCTGCCAAACCCTCATTATTTCCACCGTATCTGTGGTTTTTCGTTGTTCTTTCTTGTCAGACTTTTCAAAAGCATCTTTTTAATGTAATGTTATTCACCAGCTACTTCATTAAATTAGGATATTCAAGCATCTGATTAGTGCTGTCCACAGGATCCTAAACACAGTCGACGCTTTTGTCAGCATTACTGGGAAATCTAGAAAACAGGATTGACTATTGCTTGGATTGTTTATTAAAACATGCTAATATTGCAAGTAGAGATGTGCGATCTAACAGTTTTATATCGTATATCAGCAGCTTTTCATTGAATTTTACAGATTGCGTCATCAGTGGTGCTGTATCTAAGTACTTTATTTTTAAAGTGCCCTTAGCCTTGAGTTCTAGTGACAGGCTTTGTATCCAGGCAGCCACATGCACAGCTAATCATTTGATCATATGAGTTCAGCTAAACTTGTGGGGAGGGTTGTGATTCGGATCATGGATTGTGTATCTGCCTTGAAAGATAATCATATTATCATCATATGATCTTTTGGCCAGATTGTCTTATTACAAGCAATGTCTAATTTAGGAGATTGTAGCAAATCTCAACAATACACTCTCTTTATTTGTAGGTACACTTATGCAATCTAATGCCTTATATTCCACCTGAAGCTTCTAAATGTCAGTTTTTGTTTCAGAGAGGTGTTGTGCATTTCTTCGTGAGGCCACAGTTAGAGGGCGTGTTTGACTGGACTCTATTATATGGAATCGTTTCTACTGGTCAAACCCCCTCATGTTTGTAAGTGGAATGGGATGAGCAAAATATTTTAAACATCTGTCAGTATGATGGCTTACAGCGCAACATATCGGCTATTACATGAACACTTCTCTGACAGTGTTAGTAAAACGTTCATTTTATTGTCCTATTAGAATACATGACTAAGCTGTTTGGTTTCACAAGTTCACCTAATAAAGTGGCCACAGTGTATAAGTAATTATATCTAATTTTATGATTCAGCTTTATAAGATAAATAAATAAAACGTACACACAGGAAACGTATGCTTTTGCTGTAGGACAGGGAGTTGTAAACTTATGCTATTTCACTATAATTCCCTCTTATAATTCTTGGAAAGAGTTTGGTAATCTGGCACTCATTTTAGGGGAAATTGCAATTTCCTTGAAAGAAGAACTCAAATTAAAACATATTAAATATTCATTTATTAGTCATTTATAATGGAACATGTAATTGTAGACTTGCTGGGGGACACATGTTAGATTTTTTCCTCCCATAATCTGCTGATTGTGCGCTGATTAAAAGACTGTAGGTCACATTAGCAATGAATGGGGAGTGCACTGATTGAATATTGTCTCTCGTAGGTCCTTCCAGGAAACTTTATGGAAATTTTTAGCAAATTATTGAGAAATGATACTTGGTTGCAGTTTTTTTTTTTTTCCTGTAAAAACTTTGATTATTGTCTAAAAAGTTTGGCCAACGATCAGCCATTTATTACAAAGTGATAGATTACTTGTCTTAAGAACGTTTCCAGTTTCTGCAGTTGGGTTTGTATACAACACAAATTTACCTGAAACCAGTGGCATTTAAAACTCTCATTCCTTGGAAAACACTGAGCATAAACTAGATATTTTTATTAAACTACGTAGTGATATTTATATGCAGTGTTTGTGGGCTGAAACACGCAGACACACCGGTATGGTCTGCTGAAGGAGGAGCTGATAGTTTGGATACTTCATGTCACAGCATATGCTACTTGAGGTTGGTCCCAGCTTCCGAAGAAGAACATTTGGGAAAGTGCAGTTTTTTTTTTTTTTTTTTTGTCAGTTTGGCTGAGCGACAGTGGCCGCATGGATCTCATATGTTTTATTCATGAGAACATACATTACTTTCCAGCATGGCAGAGCGCTGCGCCAGCTCTTCTCAACATGAACTTGATAATGGGATCCATGTCTGAAGAGCTAGTTTACTTGATGTGATTGATTTTTCACGAGCAGCCTTCTCATTGAAGTTTTATTCTGCCAAAACATCTTGATGAAATGTAGCCTACTGAGCAGTAGCAATCCCAGATGTATGACTTTCCCTGAATAGATGTTTGTATAGATTTTCATATCCCTGCCTGTTTATGCAGCTAAAAACAATTCTGTCCATGGCTCCATTTCACCTTGAGTCCTTTACCACCTGCTGATCCACTTTATTGACCTTCCCAGTCTTTCCGAAGGCTCAAATGTCTTGCACAATGCTCGTCAAATTTTCCTGTAAAGTAGTTAAATGTCCCCTGTACTCTAGTGAAGCTGCTCCTTCCTGTGTGTGATTGTGCAAGACCAGGGGACGGCTCACACTCTGTCCTGTTCTTGTTGCTCTCTTTTGCTTGTGCTCTCCCGCTCCATGTGTTCCCTCTGCAGCTGACTGATAAGATTCACTTGAGTGTCCTCTCCCGGTCCCCTGCTGACATAAGAAAAGACAATAGCAGAAAATCAGAGCTGTTTTTTTTTTTTTTAAAGAAGGAAAACTGTACTCTATCAATTGTTGAAAATTATTTTAAAGGTTAAATACGTGCATTTTATTGAAGACTTCAAGCTGTTTCCTTCATCCTGATGTAGTCTGAAAAGGTTTCTCCTCCTCTCCCTGCTTCTTTCCCCTCAGGCATTATAAGAAGCGTTGCCAGGGACGTATGAGGAAGCATGTTGGAGACTTGTGTCTCCAGGCAGGGATGCTGCAGGACGCGCTGGTCCACTACCACATGGCTGTAGAGCTGCTCAGGGGAGTTAATGACTTCCTTTGGCTGGGTGGTAAGTCTGGAGGATGCTGGCTTATTGCTACAGTCTGGGACCAGAGTTTGTTTATTTGCTGATATTGATGTTTGATATTTAATAGGCCACATGGGGTCATCCATCAACTTATGTCTCCTTTTAATTGGAGTGATGAATTGCTCTGTGCTGTACTGACATGAGTGCAACAGTAGACAGTGTTTAAGTTTCTCAATGTGCAAAATGTTGAATCAAACAATCAGCAATGCAAACACCAAGGTCACAAAGGGACCTTCAGAAGATCTCAAAAATGAATGTGAGCTATTTTTTTCTTGCTGTGTTTTTGTGTGCAGCTGCGTTGGAGGGTCTATGTTCAGCCTCGGTTATATTCCACTACCCTGGAGGCACGGCAGGGAAGACCGCAGGACGCAAACCAAGTATCTCCCAGCCAGCAGATGCAGGGAAACGCCACAGACCAGGTGAGCACATCGCTCACAGTGTAACCAGACCGATGGAAACAGTGGCTGTGATGACTGTTTGTCTGTGAGTGAGCTGTGATTGAGTGGGAATGTCTCTGCTGACTGGCAGCTCAAACACTGCTAAGCTTTGCTCAGCCATGCTGCTTCCTTTGTGTGCAGAGGACAAGATGTGAGCTTCCTAAACTGCTGAAGCTTTTCTTATTTATCCTGATGACTGCTAATTTAAAGTTAACATCATCTAAGCTGTCTGCCCTGTTATTAACATGCTATTAACATGGTGTTATATTAACACTGCCTTGTGTATATCTTCAACTAATGTAAAGAACTGACATGCTATGACAAACTGACAGAGCAAACACAAACAGCGCTAAAGTGCATCTGTTATGTCTGGACAGTATTTTAGGAGAGTGAATAATCCTTCTCTTATTATTGTTTTTTATTATATTATTTAAACTTGCAATTAGATGCAATTCAGCTTCTAACCAGATGCACACAACAGCAAAGTCCATATATAAATAAATGAATGGTCAATATGGAAAATGGTACCAAAGTGGTAAAGACAGTGATGTAACTTTGATAGGGACTAAAAGAAATGATGCCAAAATATAAAATGTACAGGAAAAAAAAGGAATGCAACAATCAGTTGTGTAGCTATTCATCCATCCGTCCGTTATCTATACACCGCTTAATCCTCACTAGGGTTGTAGGGGCTGCTGGCGCCTATTCCAGCTGACTCAGGGTGAAGGCAGGTTACCTGGACAGGTCGCCAGTCTATCACAGGGCTACACTTAGAGACAGACAACCAAGCACACTCACATTCACACCTACGGACAATTTAGAATCACCAATTAACCTCAACATGTTTTTGGACTGTGTGGGGAGAACCCGGAGAGAACCCACGCTGCACGGGGAGAACATGCAAACTCCACACAGAAAGATCGCGGGTGTTCTCACCGGGACGCGAACTGGTGACCTTCTTGCTGCGAGGCAACAGTGCTCCCAACTGTGCCACCTTGCAGCCCTCAATTCAATTCAATTCAATTCAATTTTATTTGCATAGTGCAGTCCACAACATATGTCATCTCACAGCATTTAACATAGTAAGGTATAGATATACAGAACCAATTAATAGTATATTTAGTACGTAGTATGTTGTATAAATAGCAATCAGGTGCAAACACGTAGAGTGCAAAAAAATCTCTTATGTACAGTTGAACATAGAGTTAAATGCAGAAAATAAGACGTCCGAATACAAAAGTACAACGAGCCTCAGTGGCAAAAGCAAGAAAAATGTTTCTTTTTTTTTTTTTATTTTTTTAAACCAAATATTAGATATTTGTCTGTTTATTGAACCCTTTTCAGAACTGAATATATATTTGTGTTATTTTTGCAGTTAATATTGGCTCTTGGCTCATAGTTTATAGCGAAGCAGCAGCAGCCATTAAGCACATTGTTGGGACTAACACTGCTAACATTGCGCCTTGCGTCATGGAGTGAATCTGCATTCTCTCTCTCTGTCTGTAGGAGCTCAAGAGGTTCTCATTGACCCAGGTATGGAATGTCTAACCAACATAGCTCTTCTAGACACCAGTTTGCCTGTTTGCTTGTGCTCACATGTGCCACTTTCACATGCGTTTGATGTTACTCTTCATCCTGCTCCATCACCGGCTTGATTCGTGTTGCTTCTCACCTGATGTGTTTTTTTTTTTCCTCCTGTGACAGATAGTGTTCTCCTGTGTTGGTTTACTATCGCCGTTTTTTTTAAAAATTCATTCTGATGTACCTGCTCTCTTTCACAGCCTCACTTTTGGTGATCAGTATCACTTTAAATGGCCACTTTCAGTTGCTTCCATTCCTTATTTATTGCCCCATTATTCTAATAACTTACATCTTATGCTTGATTATAAAGCAAAAAATCTTTTAACCCTATCAAAATCTTTTTAAAACAATCTGTTATGAAAAGACTTTGAAGATAAGATTATGTAGTTCTCCTGAAGCACCAGCAGATGGCAGTCCAGCACCAATCATGCACACTGTGACTTTCTGCTTATTAAATGCTTACTGATGCTTAGCTATCACTATTATAACCTAAGGAGAAAAAAAATCAAATTTTTGGGCCTTTCTTTAACCTTGTAAGGAGATGATGTACATTTTTTAACTTCACTATCTCAAAAAATGTACAAAAAAATAGTGCAATACAGTATCTCAGTATTTACACGTTTCTCATGGTGACAGCATCACAGTGTTGCCATGGAAACCGTCCCGTTTGCAGCTGATCCACTGACAGTCAAGTTTGTATTAAAATCAGATTTAGCCGAGAGATGCCCCCTTAAAATTGCCTTTGAAAGATTTCAGTTGCGATTTAAGCTGGACATTAACTGTGAATATTGATTTGTTTACATCTTAAGGACTGTGTGGACTTTAGAATATTTATTTTATAATCTAATACTGGCGCAAAGCAGTGCAGGCCGAGCTTGTAAAGTTTAAGGTTCAATGGGGTGATCTTGAGGCACCAGAATGCAAGTTTCATTCATCATTATCTGTTGTTATGGTATCTGCTAAGATATGTTTAGAGTTCTCTGTGTTGAGTATTTGAGCACTGTACTGTATATACGGTAATACGCTGTGTGACAAATGTGCATGTGATGGTGGTAGCCAAAGACTTGTCTTTGAACAGTAAGTGATGGATTTAAGTTTCTTTTCCTTCCTGGTTTCACTCTTTTTCCTTTAGTAGCAGAGAACATTGATGGGCACTCATCGTTGTGGCTTTTCCTGTACTAATCTTTATACTGTCCTTTTTTGAGTGTAGGTGCCCTCACAGCCAACGGCATTAGTGCAGACACCAGTGCCGAGATCGGACGAGCAAAGAACTGCCTGAGTCCCGAGGACATTATTGAGAAATACAAAGAGGCCATCTCCTACTATGGAAAGGTACGGACCTAAAGCTACACAACTGGTAAACCAGGAATCAAACCAGTATGGTTGTTGATGGATTAAGGATACTGATGCTGAGGCTGCATTGAACATGTGTTGCGTACAGATTGTTTGAGAAACAGATGCTGCATCTCTGTGCTTCCACCAGGCATGAGAGCAGGATGTACGTATTAGGTATGCATCATGGAGATTTGCTCTACAAATGTAAAAGTAGACCAGTTTTCTATTTACATTTATTGTGAGTGGTGTGTGCACACAGCCCATTTACACAGACACATATCATATCATCATAAAGTGTCTATTTTGGAAAGAAAAAGGAAACTACCTCTATAAATGACTTCGTTGAGTGACTGTGTATCAAACAGGGGTCCACTTTTGGGTCTTGATTACTCCGATGGCATTTATTTTGCCACTACCAGCTGATGTTTGCCCAGTAACTTTGTCCATTACAGAGTCTACTGTACTCTTTAGATGGTAACTAACCCATAGTACACAAACTGAAGTGAAAAACTATGAAACTAAAAAAAACAAAGCAATCCCAAAAATGTCTTTTTTGACACAACCTTACTCTGCAGATGTGCTGCAGGTGTAGCCAGCAAGAAGATGTGTTCCATGGCACGTCCAGTTCAGAGTAGTCTGCATGTGTTGCATGTTTAATGTAGCCAATAGTATTGCCATAGTAGTGAATATCCCAAATTCTGCTTCGTTAAGTTTGAGATAAGACTCTTGGTCATGGGTGTTAAATGTCAAAGATATAGACCATGAGACTTTTAAGCTCTGATGAAAATTTACATTTTAAGAAAAATCAAAGTTTTCTGCGGGAGTACAGTGTAATTTTGGGTTTATATGAACAGCTAAAATACTGATGATCTACAATAACAAATAGCAGCTCAACTATCTAATTAAACAATGACAATCAGATAATGAATTGTTCATTAAAGCCTAGTATTATTTAATATACATTCAGTTATATTCTAATACTTATTTAATCATTAAAGAAGTGCTAATATTGTTTTTTTCTAAATGAGGTAAAATCTTAGTCTGTTCTAACTGCAGTAAAGTTTAATTTAAGTACCATTTGTCAGGATGAGACACCACAGTGCTTTGCTAAATGACAAAGAAGAATAAATATATTTAAAGAAAGTAAAACCAAGCTAACTTTGAATCGGTAGATGTTGAGCCACCTTCTAGCGATGTAAGTGGTAAGTGTGGTGCTGTTCTATAGTGTTCTGATTGTTAACAAGTCTAAAACCAGCAGTGAATGTTTACCATCAAGTAATGCCTGCGTGTCCTTAGTCCGATAAAGGTTTTCCTTTTGTGCCAAAAAACTCCTTTGTTGTCCAAAAAGCTATTAAAAACACATCACTGAGCCGCACTGTTGCACCGGTTGACACGTTGCTGCTGCTGTGATGAAAACTGCCACTGTAGTTTACTTTGGATCAGTCAGGCAAAAATTCTTTGTTGTGCGCCAGATCTGCAGCGACAAACGGCCCCAATAAATTCACTGTTTACTCCTTTTTGAGTAATGTCATAATAACTACAGTACTTAGCTGTTATTTACAGTATAATAAAAATGTAAAAAAAGTAAAAGAAACGTATATTTGTGAAGATTTGTGTCTTCATAAAGAACCAATAGACATAAATAAATACTCACTATAAAGCAAATTTGTAGTGGAAAATAGTCAAGGTATCTACAGATCTTAAAAACATGTTGAATTCAGTTTTCTTTAAACATTTTTATGTAATATACAGCCTGGACTGTATCATGAACTTAAATTAACTTAAAGTAATTAACACATTTTAATTGGTTAATCCACCGTTTTATGTAATTTGCTTGTGTCTGGCTACCATTAATAAAAAGTCTTCCAGCAGTCATTGATTAAACCCCTAAATATTCAAAATTCCAGACTCATCTCTGTGGATTATAGTATATTATAAAAAGTGAAAATAATTCCCCTCTACCTTAAAACTATTAATACAACAGTGTTGACTGCTAATTTTTGCTCACGATGTGTCTGCTAGTTTATCTAAACCACCATATGGGGGTCTTAAAAAAAAAAACAAAAAAAAAAAAGATTAAAATGATCAATAATTCTGGATCATACTGGCCCTCCTGATCTTCCATCATACTTTCATAGTTGGCCAAGTATAGTAACAGGTGTTAAATTGCATTCTATGTGGTATTAACAAGACCTTAATGTCTTAAATTAAAATTGGTGAACCCTGCAGAAGAAGAAAATTACCGAGCCCTTTTCATTTATTTATTTATTTTTTGAAAGTTTATATTAACAATCTGTTTTTAAAAATGTCTGTGCTTATAGGTACAAAAGTGCCACCAACACACAGTAGGGATGTCAAGAAGTATTGAGAGACTTTGATGGCATTAACAAAAATAAAGAATATCACCACTCTTGTTCCTTAAGTCCAAAACACGTGTTGCAGATTAGGAGCCACAACCTCAAATGACAAATTGATTATGCATATGGTACAATTATAGACTGTTTATCTGTGCAGTTAATTGATTGTATATTGATGCACATTTTATATTAAATCCATTTATTATATGTAGGCTCATGTAATGTTGTAATGAATCATAGGGTGATAAGGGGGTGGGAGTTTATAAGTTTATACTTCTTCCGGCTCCTTTTCGAACTCATTTTTGTACATTTTTTCCCCATGCTTTTTATTTAGTTTTTCATTCATTCATTCATTCGGTCATTGATTCATTCATTCATTCATTCATTCAGTCATTCATTCATTCAATTGCAGTTTTTAAGCGATAAGCAACCACTAGTCCTCTAAATGTGCTTTACTCTGTCTTTATCCAGAGAAGGTACTCTTAAAGTCTCCCTCTGATTTACCCCCAAACAAACTCATCTCCACAAATTAATTTTAGACTTTTCCATAAAAATTATCCCCCTTACTGCCTTAAAAATGGCTTCAATGTAACTCTACATTATTGCTTTCTTTAGAAATTGCAAATCTCTGAAGTCTCTCTTTACAGTCCCCTCTGCCATTTTCTGCAGCTCAAGCACACCAGCTCACCTGTGACTCTGCTCAAACACTGTAAAACTACTCTATGCTACACAATGGCAAGTTGTACAACAGGAGTAACTCAGCAGGCCATTAAGAAAACTGATGATACAGAAAGCTAAACCCTGCTAGTTGACCGGATTGGTTCCTTAAGAGCTCAGAGGTGCTGATGAATGCTTATTTCACTCATGATATGTCTGGTAGTCAGGACAAAATATCAGAGTGGGTCTTGAATGTTAGCTCCAAATGATCCCATGCATGGGGTGTCCAGATTTAGGGTAATGAAGGTCACAACTTGTGTGTCGTATTTTCCCTCAGTCTGATCATCCGTAGTCGTGTTTACATTTGGGTTCATTGATATAAAACCTGCACCAACAGGCAGAAATGTAGCTATGTGTCTGTGGAGTAATAGTTATTCATCTCACCAGGGGGCAGTATTTGATTTGATTTTCTTGCCATTTGAAGGCAAAGACAACACTGTGTTTGAGTTTTATCAGACCAGTACATGCTGACAGCAGCTGTTTATTACTGAATCCTACATGGGGACAAGATTTACCACTGAGCTTTGAAAGCGTGTGTAATTGCTAGTAGAACCTTTTCTAGTCAGCAGTAACCTTATAAAATCAGTGTTACACAGACCCAAAAGTGTTACGTATCTGTTCATGGAATAATATATTTGTACTCTCTTTTTTCCCCAATGTACTTGTACAAAGTCACAAAGAATAGTATTTAAGTATCCTTAATGCTCAAGGAAAGCTGAATAGGCTCATTATGCTACCCAACTATTCAGAAGCAATCCTGTGCTTTATCTTCATTATTATAATTGCCTTTTTGCACTGACCTCCCTCAGCCCTTTTACCTGTAACTAGTTCATTCAGAATTAAATTACATCTCAACACATAGCCATTCAGATATTAATTGAATTTTAATAAGGAGACAATGAGGGTGCAAGTGGAAGGAAGTTGAGGGACGGAGCGATAAAAAATGCACACATCTGTGCACAGTGTGAAGCCTGGGCAGCAGTAGCTCAGTGGAAAAAAAAGAGTAATGGCTGGGAATCCCCGAAAGACGAGCGACAGGGGATCCGAGTTATCACACTTGTCCGTCATCCCACGTTTGCGGTGACTGATGAGTATGGTCGTATGTTAATGAGGAAACATTACCTCCGATTATGAGGTGGGTTGTAAAACTCAAGGCGATCCTTGCTGGCTATTCATTTTTCATTAACGTCGATCCTCCCCCTGCTCCTCCTCTTATCTCCCGCAGTACAAGAACGCCGGCGTGATCGAGCTGGAGGCCTGCGTGAAAGCGGTCCGGGTGCTGGCTATTCAGAAGAGGGCCAGGGAGGCCTCCGAGTTCCTGCAGAACGCTGTTTACATCAACCTGGGACAGGTACACTGTCTAACTGTGAAATCCTTTAACATACATCACCTTGATGCAGCTTGAGAAGCTATTGCAGCTTCACTGGATGATTAATACGGCCACTGGCTCTGCGGTGTACAGTTACATCACAGAGGCTGAAGAATATCATACTGTGTGCTAAAACAGAACCCACCTGCACCACAATGTGCTCTCAAAGTATGCATTACCTTTTTTTGTGTTTTTTTTTTTTCATAACTAGAGTGATACATTTCACTTTATCTATTTTTTCACTTCAGAGTTTTGTTTCCTTATGTAACCTACACAGCCAGTGACATTTCCTCCAGGTTTGCCTTTTTAGTGCAGTGATTTATTACATTTTCTTTCTTGGATTTTAAATATTGATTCCTAAATCGGTATTATAATAATTAGTGCATTAAAGGCAGTTTATTCACCTCAGCAATTATTGGCATGGATCAGTCTGGTGAAAGTGTTCCTAATAATCCTTGATAGTACTTTACAGAATGTTCCAACTAAATGTGAAGGCATATAATTACAACATTGGAACATTAAAGATGCCCTCTTCACATATTAGAAGATATATTAAAAGACTCATTATTATGCATAATTGTATATGTTTAAAAAACAAAAACAACAAAATCCTGCTCGTCTATCCATGTGTTGCACAGAGACTTAGGGTGATCTCAGAGAAACTTTTTCCATTCAGCAGATGAATGTAAAAACAGTCCTTTCATAATAACATAACAAACTATATTCATTCTTATTAAACATCCAAGTGAAGTCACAATGTCGTGCCTGTAACTGCAGCTATCGGAGGAGGAGAAGATCCAACGCTACAGCATTCTGTCCGAGCTCTACGAACTGATCGGCTTCCATCGCAAGTCGGCTTTTTTCAAGCGTGTCGCGGCCATGCAGTGTGTGGCTCCCACCATCCCAGAGCCTGGCTGGAGGGCCTGCTACAAGCTGCTGCTGGAGACGTTACCTGGATACAGCCTGTCACTCGACCCCAAGGACTTCAGCAAAGGTAGGAGGTTGGATTATATGGAAACCCGGAGGTAATAGGTTTATTATTTCTTTCCGCTCTTTCACGTGGGAATACTTGGGTTTGGTGTGAGAGAGCCTCATTGTTTTCATCGTTTCAAAACTGATCTCACATTTGATGTTTTTTTTTTTAGGGATGAAACAAACCATTAATTTCATCATCACTTTTTTTTTTCTGTTGGTATCTAATGGTGTTTTGCTTCAGTTGATAAAACATCAACCAATTGTGAAAAATAATCACCACATTTTTTATTTTTTCTTCAAATTGTTTGTTTTTTCCCTCCCAGCCAACACTATTAAATCCAAAGAGCTTCAATTTATCATAATATGAGAACAAATCTATTCCTCCTTTGAGAGGCTGGAGCCATAGAATAATTTAGATTTTTGTTTTGGCAACTGATAAATTATTCTTTATTGACCAAGTTTTTAGTGCTCAAAGATATTTTTATAAAACTATGGAATTGTTGCCTGATATAATACAAATCAGAACTCAAATCAAAATTCAGGGCTGAACCTAAAACAAAGCTCTTTGTCTGTAGAATTCACCCTGTCATGGGTAGATTTCTTTCTTCCTAGAGGTCTTAAAGGTTGCAAGTACTCAAGTACGCCTGATTTTATATCAGTGAAAAGGAATAAATCTGACTGAATAAATGTTTTATTAAGTACTGAATAGAGTGCCCCTCTTGCGTGATCCACAATCTGTGAGTGACAGCAGTGTAAACATATTTAACGGATTACGGAGATGAAAAGCATTGCTTCATTTCACTCCTAGCTTTGCTGTCTTTTTAAAAAGTACTCCATCAGGGTGTTCTGCATTCAAGCCACCACTTTTCTCAAAAAGCAGCACGACTGAGACCTGACCCGGGCTTTTGTAGATTCTTCGGTAAGGCTCTCGTGATAAGCCTCTTGGTTCTACAGACTCTTGACCCTTGCTCATTGCAGCCACTCAATGGCAAGCATTGGCAACATAAAAGACAGAGCGCGGAGCGAACAGAAAAGCTCAGGGACATCCGTATTTTATCTCGCCATCGCTATTCAAGGAACATTTTGTGAGGATTTTTATTCTGATACGCTGTTAATCTCTGGTCGTGTTTCCTTTATGCGTGATGAATCGCAACAAGCTGCATGTTGTTTTGAGGTAAAATGGTTTTTACTTACACTGAAATGTTGTTAAAGCAGGTGTTTGAAACTCAAATATGAGATGTACTGCTGTTTGAAATTTAGATTTATGCCAGTTAATGGTGGAGTCTGTGCTTCTGGAGGGAATATTGTTGCTATTTACTTATTTACGTGGCTCCAACCTGCGACCAAAATAGTCATATGTGCAACTGTTTTATACGTAGAATCCTCACCGGCCGGCTCAGGTAACTACTTTGTTAGCCAAATGTGGTTGAAAGGAGCTTTTTCTTCTTCACTGGCTCAGTCATTCTCTTGCCTGACACGTGGAACAATCCAATCAGCTGCGACCTTGTTCCAAAGATGAAGCGATCTATAGCTGATTATCTTAAAAAACCAAACGAAGGTGGAAGAGAAGGAGGAGGCTGATGAAGAGGGAGAGCTCGTGACCCAGACGCACCTGATGATGATGAGAGTGCAGGTGAAGGCAGGAAGATACTGACCGAGGTGGTGAAGAAGAAAAAAATAAAGCATTCAATCGCAATGTTAAAACAGTATGAGGGCTTCATAATTAAATAAATACTGACAACATCACAAGTTCCCACAATTAAACATTTTATTGTAAAACTGATGTTTGAAATACTCCGCAAATAGAAAACAGCCTAATTGAAATTAACCTCTTGGTTTAATTTGGGGCAAGAGAATGTCTTATTTCACATATAATTTATGAAATAAGGCATTATGTAACTCATATTTGTTTACATGCTTTTCTGAGTTGTAGTGTCTATCGTTAAACAGATATTTAGCAAGTGAGGAGTTTGGCCAGTTCCTAGTTTATAACTTTAGGGAAAGAGTGCTGACACAATTGATATATTCATTTTAGACGGTATCAAATCACTTTTTTATCTTTACATCAATGCAACATAATGATATGCAAAGACAACTCGTCATCAACATGCAGGATTGATTAATACTCTGCTGAGTGGGGTGCAACCAAATCATATGCTTGTGCGAGCAATTGCGAAAGTGGGATGCATGAGTACTACCGGTAAAAAAAAAAACAAAAAAAGCCCGTCCCCCTGCATTAGCACAAACATGCACAGGACACTCTGGAATAGTGTTGTTGATCGGTCCGAGCCAACTAGTTCGTTTCCCATGTACAGAGCCAGTTACTAAATGTTTTTCAGCACACACACACACACAATAGATTGCAAGTAAACAATGATGAGATACTCACAGATTTTGACAAAACACATTTTGGATTATTACCGTTGACTCTGTCTTTAATCACCCAGGGAAAGCCAGTGGACTAGATTTTCTATACTGTAACATGAACCCTACATTTCACTGGGGCGCATAGTATGACGGCATCACAGTTCATTCATTTCAAAAAGTGATGTCTTTGCCACACATGTACTACATTGTGGTAGCCTGCAGTGCGACGAAATGGTTTTAACTTATACTATGTTGCTACAAAGTGGATGACCTAATTGGTAATAACAGCCCAAAATGATCAGATCACCAGTAATTTTTATTTCGAAATAATCTCCTGTTGAAGTTCTCTGTTCTTAAAAAATCATACTAAACTTCTGCAGAATGCTATTTGCAAATATTCATGCCAATTGCATGAAATAAGAATAGGAAAATACACTTATGTCCAGTTAAAAGTGGTTTTGTGGGAGTTTT